GGCCCCGCCCCCACGCCCCCTTCCCCAGCAGCCTCGCCCAGCAGGACACCCCCACTTAGCTGCTTCCTCTCTGTTCCCTGAGCTCTTCCTAAACTCCAGGACCCCACGTATTTCTCACCTCCTCCTGGAAGCCCCCCAAAGCCAACCCTAGAGGGGGGGGGGTCTCACAACTGCAGCTGCTCTGTCAGGACCCTCACACAAACCTCCCTGAGGGGGTGTTGCCTTAACATCTGCTCCGTGCTGGGCACTGAACAGGCACAAGGAGGGGCTCCTGAGACCCTGTAGACCCCGGCCCGGCTCATAAAGCTCAGGTGAAGTCCAGGGAAGGCACAATCACCAGCTAGTTGAGCTGTGGTTGAGTGAGGAGCACACAAACCTGGTGTGATACTAACGGGAGACGCCCACTCCCTGTTCCCACCCAATGGAGGGCCAGTACTCAGTGGCGGGGGTGGCCTTGCCTGCTGAGCCGAGCTCCTTGGGTTCAGGGTGCTTGTGAGGGCTGCACACGGTCTCCACTCAACGGACACCTGTGAGTTCCTGAATGGAAGCCCCCTGACCACCGACCGGCACCCCGGAGCCCCTCCCCAGTCTTCCTGCCCTCTGTGGGGCTGGAGGGAGGAGGCGCTGCCCAGGCCAAGCTAATGGAGGAGGTTGGCGTCTTCCCTGCTCCGCTGCCTGCAGCTCTCGCCGTCCTGCAGGGGAGTGGGGGCTGCTCCTCTCAAGGCCCTCTTCTGTCCCCAGCTCACCGCCGCGTCCCGGCCCTTCTTGTCCACCGGGCTCTGCAGCTGCTGCTCACCCCCAAGGCCAAGGCCAGGGACAGAGGCTCCAGCCGGGATGATCACAGCCTCATCCCAGGGTGGCTGGGCCCTCTCTCCTGGCTTCTCCTTGGGAGGTCTTGGCAGGTGACAGACCCTCCCCCCAAGCCTGGCACACCCAGGCCCCACCTGGGTTGACCACCTCTGTGCACAGATTCAGACAACAACCTCAGAAGAGCCGTGCGCACAGGCCCCGTGAGGCCTGACGAGGCCCAACAAGGTCCAACAAGGCCCAACGAGGTGCCTGAGGTTGCACTCTGAGCACTTTGTCTAGGACTTCTTCATTCAAGTAGAATTTGCGTGCACTTAAAATGGCTCCGTGACATTATACACTATTGTATATATCACTACACACAGAAAATTCTGCAAGGATATGTTCCAAAACTACAGTTTTTAGATGACAGAATTTTGGGTAAGTTTTCGTTTTACTATCATTTTCATACTTTTTGTACTTTAACAGCTAGGAGTATATAATACTTTTTATTTTGTCAAGTACTTGGAATTGAAAAAAAAAAAAAAAACTCAAGCAGGAAAGGCGTTTGGCACAGTTCAGATGCGACTTGGGACCCCCTCATCCTCATCAGAGTTCCCCAGGTTCGAGTCCTGACTCCCGATTCCAGTTTTCTGTTAATGTGCACCTGGGAGGCAGCAGGTGCTGGCTCAAGTCCTTGGGTCCCTGCCACCTACGTGGGAGACCAGGACTGAGCTCAGGGCTCCTGACTACGGCCCAGCCCTGCCCTGGCTGTTGCAGGCATTTAGAGAGTGAACCAGTGGTTGGAAAAATCTCTGTCCCTCTGTCTCCGCCTTTCAAATAAATAAAACTAAATTAAAGCCCAGCTGCCTTGAATTTTTAAAAAATACAATTTGGCTTCTAGAGAGGCAGCAGCTTAGGTCAAAATTAAAAAAAAAAAAAACAAAAACAGGTTGTAGTCAGGTTGTAGACCCCTGCCTTGGAGGCCTGGGGAGTAGGGTGGAGCTGGCAGAGAGAAGGAAAAGGAAAGGAGGTGAGGCTCCAGCCCTGAGCTCTCCTGCTCCCCCTCCCCAGCCCTCTGCACCCACTGCAGGTGCTGCGCACCCCAGATGAGGTTTGTCACAGTTCCTGTAAGTTGGAGCTTACCTGCCTCTCTTTGCTAAATAGCTGCTTTGGGGAAATGACAATGATGACCGCCTTGATGGCAGGGTACTGTAATCTCTGGGACTGGAGGAGGCCTCCAGAGGTCATTCAGTCCATTCCCCTGCCTCCAGGCAGCATAGGAATTATCCCAGTTGGGCAAGCCTTTATCTTGTTTTCAGGACTTCGGAAGCTGCTCACTCCCCACGCCCTTCCTCGGGCACTCATTCTCGTGTCTAAACATTTCTTGCCAGGAAGTCCTTCCTAGTGTCTAATCCAAACTCCCTGTGCTTTGAGTTTGCATGGCTTGGCCCCTGTGGTCTGGCCAGAGATAGGGAGACGCATCGGGACAGAAGCAGTGTGGCCCTAAGGAAGGCATGACGATCCTTTCTTAATTAAATTACACTAGTTTCGTTTGTATTGATTTATTTTCATTTTGTTTGGAAGGCACAGAGACAGGGAGAGCTCTTGGTCCCCACACACACAGCTCTCTATGGGTTCCGGGACGGGGGCAGCCTGGACTAGACTTGCTGATCATACTCCCAGCCCCCCAGGTTTGGGGGCCCTTTGCATTCAGCTGTCCCATGCCAGGGGGAGGTAATCCCTGTAAACCTGCCTGAGCCCCACCCCACCCCCACTCTGCTGCAACATCACCCAGGGGTGCTCTCCAGCTGGTGCTGTGGAAGGCAGCAGGGACAGGAACTCACAGCTTCCCAGACAGATCCCTGCCTCTGCTCTCGGTGCAGGATGGTCAAAGACAGCTGGCAGGGACAATACAGCTACTTTGAGAGCCCCTGGGCACTGCGGGCCTCCCACTGAGCACCAAGGACACAGAGGGAGGGAAACAGGCCCCTGCCTTCCAGGGGCTCACAGCCCAGCCCGGAGACCCCTGTGGAGCTGGGTCTAAGGCTCAGTGGGGCTGGGGGTCCTCGGCCTCCAGGGCCAGGTGGGGAGGAGACCACATGACCTCCGTGCCCTCCGGCCCCTCCCTTACCCAGCCCCAGGACACAGCATTCTAGAGCCAAGGCTTCTCGAGGCATGGTAGGGTCCACAGACAGGTTCTCTAGAGTCTGAGTGCTTACTGCAAGGCTCTCAAGTGCTTATGTTTTCTAGTTTGGAATAGTCTAGAAAAAAACAATAAAAACATATTCGGCATCATATGGATGCTTGGCTTATCTCCAATGACGTGATCACAAAATTTCAGTGTCTGTTTCCACTGATGTTTATGGGAAGCGTTTAACTTGTTTATTTCCTTGAAGTAGGAGCTGCACCCAGGCACACACAGAGCCCTGAAGCATGAAGCAGGCACGCCTGGGAAGCCAGCGCTCAGGTCGAGGGAAACATGACGGCCACCACCCCGCGCTCCTCGCGCCATTCCCCACCACTTCCTCCAGGCCAAGCTGACCACAGAGCTTGGCCACACAGCCGCTTTGCCTAGTCTGGAACTGCAGGGGTCTGGTTCTTACAGAATGACTCCTGAGTCTCGGGCCTCCTTGTCCCCGCGTCAGGTGGTGAGGCTGTTCAGGGAGCCATGGCTGATTAATTTCTAATCCAGGGGCCAGCATTGTGGTACAGGGAGGTCAGCTGCCACCTGCAACCCCGCATCCCATCTGGACGTCGGCTGCTCCACTTCCAATCCACCCCCCTGCTACTGTGCCTGGGAAAAGCAGCAGAAGATGGCCCAAGGGAGACCTGGACGAAGCTCCTGGCCCAGCCCTGGCCGTTGTAGCCATGTGGGGAATGGACCAGTGGGTGGACGATCCCTGTCTGCCCCTCCCTCCCAGTGCGTCTCCAGGTGGGGCCCTCAGGAGTGGTCCTTGGGGGCCTGTGACTCTATCAGAGAAAAGCCCACAGCTCGGGGACACATGGCCTGTCCCTGTTCCCTTCACAGCCCCAGACGTGCTCCCCTGATGCACCCTGCTCAGCTGTGTCTCCAGGCCTTTGCAGTTGCTGTTCGCTCTGCCTGGGGTGCCTTCCCCTTGCCTGTCTGCCCAGCGGCTTGTGCCAGCTGAAGGTCCTGGCACCCTTCTCTTCTTTCCGTCCTGGCTGTCCCTGCACGAGTGTGATGCGACAGGAATCAAGGAAGGGGTTCTGACTACATCCCCCCACCCCATGGCCATCAGAGGCACGGGGTTCATTCTGCCCTGGCATGCCTGCACCATCAGCAAAGACGGTGGCATCGGTGCTGTGGCACAAAGCTTCCCTGAACCAGGGAATTAAAAAGCCCTGCTTGGGTCAGTGCCAGGCCCCAGGGCCCAGGCAGGCGTCAATTTCCTCATCTGTGAAATAGGGACAATGAACCTGGTCACCTTCTTCTTTCCTGGGAAGAGTATGAGCTTAATGAATGCCCAAGACCGGACATGACTGTACCTAAACTGGAGCACAAGCCGCCTGGAGGCAGGGGAATGGCCCTGGTGACTCTTGGTCCTCTCCGCCTGCCTGCCCAGGGCTCAGGACGGTGTGAGACCCACAGTCCAGCAGGCTGCTCATCTTGCTTGGTCCCCCATGCTGCCTGGGTGAGGCTTGGCTTGGAGGCCCGAATCTGCTTGCTAAGTACCTACCCCTCGAAGTCCTGCCTAAGCTTGCCTGATCTTCAGCCTTGCTGTGTCCACTCCACGGCACTACATGGAGTTTCTTGGTCTCTTCTGACAGAGCCCTACCCAGCGTCCCTCCTAGAGGCAGCCGCTTATCGCCCCTGGACCTGCAACTTGCACCCCCACCCCCATCCTAACGCGGGCCTGGGGTCACGGTGACCACTGCCAGGCTGGCGGGCCTCAGAAGCGCAGGCTCTGCCCTGCAGGGGAAGTGAAGGCAGCTGCCTGTTGCCATGGCTACCGACGGCACCCCCATGGGCCACCTCATTGGCCACTGAGGTCGAGATCCCGCCTCTGCCGTTGGAAGGGACCAACCGCAGGCATACGTGGTGAGGCCGAGTTGACAGGCCGCTCAGCAGGGAGACGCAGAGGGCCTGCACCTCCATGCCTCACGGGGCTTTGACGGCGATGGAGCGGTGGCCACCGGGGAGCTACTGTCCCGGCCGCCGGCGCACAGGCAGGCAGCACCTGGCGGGATTTTCCCTCGGGCGGCGCCGGGGAGGCGCTGAGCTGCGCGGATGGAGTAGGGGCGGGCGAGGGTTTCCTCCCAGGCAGGGTGGGCTCTGAAGGGCCCGGCCCGGAGGTTCCTGAGGGCCGCGAGGGCGGGGTGTGTGTGCGCGCACGGACGCGCAGGAGGCTGGGGAGAAGTGTTAAGGAAGAGGGCGGAGAGGAGCCTGGGGTCGCGGTCTCCTGAGACGTGGGTTCGAGTCCCAGCTGTGCACACGCAGGCAGCGTGACCTTGCCCCCCCCCCACATCGACCCCACACCCCCGCCGTGTGCCTGCCAGCCTGTTTCCCCAGGGGTGAAGGAGGAGCGAGCACTTGTTACTTTGTGCCATCTGTGTGCGAGTACCCTAGGAGTTTTGTCTTCGCAGTTCCCTCAAAACGACCCGAAATAGGCGGGTGCTGGCTTCACCCCCATTTTAGAGGAGGAGGCCCAGGTGAGCTCGGTGGCCAGACGTCTAGGGGAAGAGGGCGGGGCCGCGCGGAAGGAAGGGCTCATTCCCAGCTGCGTGGTTTCCTGTAGCAAAAGTGCGTCAGTCAGCGCTCTCGGGGGGTCAGCCGCCCCAGGCTTTGCGATGAGAAGGGGGAACCGAGCCTCCTCTGCAGAGCTGGCTTCGCTGGGGGCCGGAGAAGGCGGGGCTCTGCCAGCACCGATGCAGGGGCTGGATCCGCGTGTGCCCCTCGCAGACCCCTTTAAGGGCCTGGCGAGGACTGAGCCCCACGGGACAGCACTGACGGGCCCCAGGGAGGAGCTGGCCCTGGAGTCTCCACGGCCCGCACAGAGCCACAGGGATAGAGGCTTCTGCCCGGGCCAGTGTTGGCCTGCAGTTGTAACAGCTGCCGTTGGCCCGTCTAAGCACTGATGGGTGTTCTTGTTTTCTGTTTTAAAACTCTTATTTGTTTATTTTATTGAAAAGCAAAGAGACAGAATGAACCCCCAAATGCGTGGAACATCTGGAGCTGGGCCACGTCTCCCACATGGGTAACGGGGACCCAACCACTTGGGCCATTACCTAATGCCTCCCAGGGTCTGTGTTAACAGGAAGCTGGAATGGGGATGGGAGTGTAGCCAGTGCCTTAACCATACACTGTGCCTGCACCTGGTGGGTGGGTGTTTGAAGATTTATTTGTTTGGGATGCTGAGTGATAGAGGGAGAGACAGAGAAATCCTCCTCTGGTTCACTCCTCAAATGGCCACAATTTCCAGGACTAGCCCTGCCAAAGCCAGGAGCCCAGAACTCCATGAAGGTCTTCCATGGGGTGGCTGGGGCCCAGATCCTTGGGCCATCATCCACTGCCTTCCCCGGGCACATTAGCAGGGAGCTGGGTAGGGATGGAAGCAGCCAGGACTCCAGCCAGTGCTCCTGTGGGATGCTGTGTTGCAAGCAGGGCTTAACCACTGCCCCACAAGGCCACCTCCCACCCAGCCCTCCAGACTTTTGTGTGTGCTGAGTGCTGGACCTGGCTGCACCCTCTTCATCTTCCTTTGGCCTGGAAATCCCTGCTGTGCGCATCCCCATTCTGCAGGTGGGGAACGCGGTGTTGAGAGAGGTTAAGAAAGTTCGTGTGGATTTCAGGCTCTGTCACTGATGACAGCCACGGAAAATCTGACTCAAAGTGGTTCATGCCAAGAAGGGAACTTACTGGTTCACGAAACCAAGAAAATCCAGGCATGACTCGGTCAGGAAACTCAAAACACCATACAAACACATTTCTCCTAGTTGTAGTTTAGTAGGTAAGACGTTTCTGGTAATGGAGACAGAAGTCCGAGGAGTTACTCTAATTGGACAGTTAGGGTCACGTGACCAACCGCTCATCAGTGCAATGCTGATTGGCAGATCTGGTCCCAGCCCTGGGTCTTGTAGCCTCCCCTGGAATGAAAGGGAAGGAGAGAGGAGCCTTTCTCCAAAGGAGGAGCAGATGAGATGGGGATTGGGTGCCCACATTAGGAGGATTGCATCCTCACCAGTCGGATTCCAGCCCCCTCTGTACCTACTACAGGTGCTAGCCTGGTGCTGAGCACCAAGGAGAGAAGACACAGATTTGAAAAGTGAGCATGCCTTTCCCCCACCACATCCCTGCCCATCTCCACAGGGGCCCTGGCTCGGTTGCTCCCTGGAGGGTTCTGGAAACCTTTCTGAGAGTGGTGGCGGTAGCAAAGGCTCTCCATATTTAGCCTGGTCCCGCTCTACCCTGGGGGCCACTTGCTTCTGGTTTCTCCAAGTAGAGAATGGTTTCCTGGGGGCTGGGACTGTATTCTTTTTTTCTTTTTTTAAGATTTATTTATTCGAAAGTCAGTTACACAGGGAGAGGAGAGGCAGAGAGAGAGATCCTCCATTTATTGATTCACTCCCCAATTGGCAACAACGGCCAGAGCTGTGCTGATCTGAAGCCAGGAGCCTCCTCCAGGTCTCCCACAAAGTTGCAGGGGCCCAAGGACTTGGGCCATCTTTCACTACTTTCCCAGGCCATAGGAGAGAGCTGGATCGGAAGTGGAGCAGCAGGGAAGTGAACCGTCACCCACGTGGGATGCTGGCATTGCAGGTGGTGGCTTTACCCACAATACCACAGCGCTGACCCCGGTTACTGCATTCTTTCCTCCCCTGTGTGTGTGGTGCCTCTCTGGGACCTGGCAGCAGCCGAGATTTAGGGGGCCCTAGGATGGCCCTGCCCTACCCTCTGTGTGTCTCCTTTATCTTTTCAAAACCCGTCACTTGATGGGATTCCACTCCTTAGTTCCTGCTGAGAGTCAGATGCCCCTGGCAGAGGGCACGTAGTAGGTCTGAGCATTCGTTCACACTTTAGTGTGAAGTAGTTTACAGAATCCTTCCAGAGCACAGGGTTTGTTATGTGTACCGTTCATTTAGTGCCTGCAAATTCCAAAGCTCCCCATGCAATCCTCGCAATAGCTCTAGGAGGTGGGTACCGTTGTTCATCCGGTCTTACATACGAGGAGCTTCCCACATGTGTCTGTTAGCAGTGGAGCAACGATGGGAAAGCAGGAAGTCTGGGATCCGGAGCCCACGCTGCTGGTCACTCCACCCAGACAGTCCCCAAGCCTGCTGTTTACAAACACATCCGTACCCGTCTTCAGGGCCTCCCTGTAATTCATGGAGGCAGTAAGTATGATTGCGCCCATTTTATGGACGAGAATGTTGAGACAGCTAAGTTCAGTGGCAGGTCCAAGACTTGAACCCAGTACTCCTGTTTCAGGTCACCGCTCCTTCTAGAACCCCACCCAGTGTACAGAGAGAGATTTTAGGTCTTGGAGACAGAGGGAGAGAGAAGGGTAAGGATAGAGCTAGCAGCTCCCAAGACAAGCTTGCCCCCCTCCCACTCCATTTTTTAAACCAAATATGTGCACTTTAAAAAATTTTTTAAAGTATTTTCATTTTATTTGAAAGGCTGAGAGGTAGAGATCTCTGAGCTGCAGACACACTCCTCCAGTGACTACAGCAGCAAGGGCTGGGCCAGGGCCAAAGCCAGGAGTCAGGAACTCCCATCTGGGTCTCCCAGGCAGCTGGCAGGGACTCGGGTACTTGAGCCATTACCTGCTGCCTCCAGGGTGTTCCGTAGCAGGAAGTTTGATTGGAAATGGAGCAGCTGGGACTTGAACCAGTGCTCTGCTATGAGATGCTGGCAGGCCAAGCGATGGTTAACACCCACCACCGCACCCGCCTCTCCAACACTTGCCCTTTCTCCACTGTCTCTGGTGAGCAGGGCCCTGGGCTGAGGCTGAGCGTGCCCACCCTCCCCCTGCTCTGGAAGGAGAGGGGGTTTACCAAGGGCCACCCGAGGCCCACTCCAGCCTGACTCCAGACTTGAGCATCTTAGCATGAGGCTGGATGCCTTCTCTGAGAATGGTGAGGGGCCAGTGGGTATTTGTGGACTGATGAAATCACACACACACACACCCGCCTCTGGTGCTTTGACTCTATCCCCCAGCACCCAGAGAGCCGTCTCTGCTATCTTCCAGGAACCCGTGCCATCCCAGGCCGGAAGCCGGGTGGGGATGGCTGGCACACTTAAAGGGCTTGCGTGGAAACCCCCTGGGAACTGAACGAGAGTGATTTCACCAGAGGTGCTTGAAGGAGAAACCAGGGCCGCATGTGGAAGGCAGGGGGAGCTCAGTGGGTCTCGCTGGGTGATCTTTTCCGTGTGACTTCCTGGAGTTTCCTCTTCCGTAGCCGACCTGCTCACAAGCTGCTTCTAAAGCACTGTCCAGTGGCAGGCGTTGTGCCACAGTGGGTTAATCTGCCACGTGGCATGCCTGCATCATAGGGATGGAGTCCTGCTCCTGTTTCGTATCCAGCTTCCTGCTAGTGTGCACCCTGGGAGGCAGCAGGTGTTGGACCAGCTGCATTGGTCCCTGCCACCCATATGGGAGACCTGGATGGAGTTCTTGGTTCTGGCTTGGGGCTGGCACAAACCTGACTATGAAAGGCATTTGGGGAGTGAACCAGTGAATCAAACTCTCTGTCTCCATCTCTCTGTTGTTCTGCCTTTCAGATAAATACAAATGGGTAGTTTTAAAAGAGACATAAACATAACATATTGTTATGAACAATGAACAATGGTGGCTTCACCCTCTCTGCTCTCTGAACTGATCTCTGATTATGTTTCCCAATTTGCAGCTGTGGGAACGCGGTTCCTCGTGTGGCCCAGAGCCACACAGGAGGCATTAGAAATGCAGTTAAGAACCCACCTAGCTCTCGAGTCCGTCACCCCAGTATCTATGAAGCATGCACTGTGTAGCCAGAATCTGAGCTGTGCCCAGGAGTATAGCAGTGAGCAAGGCACGTGTGTCCTGCCTCTAGGAGCACCAATTCCAACAAGGGGTAAAGACAGGTGAGGGCAGGACAAGATGACAGGAGCTGGCGCTTGGCAAGGTGCAGGACCACAGGCTGCTCAGGGCCGTCTTGGCTCCCCTACTTGGGAGGGCCCAGCACAGCCAAGGTCTGGCGGCGTGGAGGGGAAGTGCGGAGGGCTGGAGCCTCAGCTCTCTTCCTGGCTCCAGGAAAACTGGAGCAGCCCCACCCTCAGAATCCAGGAGCAAGACCCTCTGCTCTCCCGGGCACTCTGCCTGCCTGCAGTTTCAGCCCCCAGCCCCCGCAGTTTCCGGGGCTGGGGTGGTTTCCAGCCCCACCTGCTTTCGTGGAGCCGGGTTCATCCTCCACTCCCACCAGGCGTGTCCCATGTCACTCTGAGTAACTCCAGGGACCCAGGTGATCTCATCCACTCCTGATTCAGTTTGAGTCACTCTGTTTCTAGAAGGTGGCTGTCAGCTCAGGCACCTGGAGCCTGTGGGAGTGGCAGGTCCCAAGTCCCTGCTCCCAGTGGTTACCCAGGTCTGTGTCATGCAGGGGCTGTGGGGGAGTCCTGGGAGGGAATCCTGAGCCCCTGAGACTCCTCTGCAGCCCACCTCTGCCCCGTCCAT